AGAGCACCACCGTTAGCCACATGTCATCGGATTTAACTCTGTCTAGATCTATCATTGTCCACCCCCGTGCAAATCAACTGTCGTCCACTTCCATTCATCTCCGTCCAGATCCCCCACTGCCTACCTCCATACAGATCATTCAAGATCCACCGTCGTCCACCTCCTCTAATGATTCGATCTTCACCTTTGCTGAACTTTCTTTCTTTCTCTAACGAACTAGATAATGTGAAAACATGTGTGATTGTGATGCTAGGGTTTGCCTCAAATAGATGTTGGTGGTGGGTTAGCCCTTCGATCTAGGAACTCAAACAAAAAGTGGAGATGGAGGTTCAAATCGGCGCGTGTTTCTTCGTTAACGTTCCAACGGTGGTACAAGAGAACTATTTGTACATTCATTATACTAATACTTAAAACTATACAACATTATGGCGATGATGATGGATGTTGTATTTCCTCAAATACCAAATACAACACGTAAGAGCATCTTCTAGGAAACGTGAAAATATTGTATAGGCATGTTCAATATTTAGATGATTCTATAAGAAAAAACATATTTAGTAAGGTTAATTACATCTTGATCGCTCAAAGATAATAATAATTTACAAATAGGCGAAAAGCAATAGAAATATTAGATGTATGCAAAGGTAGAGACTAGAGAGGTTCTTTCTATAGGAGACCTCCATTAGAAATAGAATATTGTGTCATACATGAAAAATTAAAAAACATAGTAAGTTTTTTTAACTAATGTGAAAAAGAATACTAATGTAAATAAATCACATAAACAACTTAATAACACAAAATGCAAGCATCTGAATGCTAAGTGGTCCAATGATAACATGTAAATGGAACAATTCAAAGATCGCCTCTAAATAGCTCAGCATTCAAGGCATTTGATATATCATCATTTGACATGTTTGATACAACCAAACAACCTCAGCCTACAACATCTAAACAACCCCAACCCTCATGATACAACATCTAAACGATCGCTAAACAAATCAAAAGTCTTTGAACGATTACAGACTCTTACATTTTCTTAACCATTAAAAATGGTATTATAAAACATCCCCCAACTACGAATCATTTAAAAAAATCATCTAATGTCTACTAAATCCATCCACGTACATTTTACATTGCAAACAATAAAATACTTACATTTGCAATGTAATTTTTTGAGAATAAGATACTAAAGGAAAAACACAACCATCAATACAAAATACTTTGTGCAACACCAATCCATTTTGAGAACAAATTATTCAAGGTAGTAGTTTGTGCAACGGCTCTAAAATCAGAATCAAATAAGATGATGAACATTCTTAGGGTTCTAAGTGTTAAATATGTTAGAATTTGCAACAAGGATCTGAAGAGGAAGTAGAAGATTGGCATGTTTATTATAAGGTATATGAGATTTTAGGGTGAATGGGAGAAAACAAAAATTGGATATCATCCATGCATTAGGGAGCCATTACTCATTACTAGTTTTAACCTATTTTTTCAGGGTGCATATCAAGTAAGAAGCATGATGTGATGAGAAAACATTCATATGGCATTATCAAAGATTGTACTTTAATTCCCAAAAGAAAATAGAGTAATTATCAAAAATGAAAAGAAATAACATGAAATTCAACCAGTATTCTGTGACAAAACATCCTAGATAAAAAACATAACATACTCTCCAAAATTCTCAAAGATTGTCAAGCAGGAATTTCAGCAACATCTTCAACATAAGTTATTGCCTTTGTGGTTGGCTTTGCAAGAAGATCTGTGTACTCTTGGAATGGTGATCTTGAAAACCTTGTCTCCCTCCAGAAATCAGGAGTCAAAAACCCATAAGTTTTCAGCAAACAGTCAAAAGTAGCCTGCAAAAAAATCACAACTTGATTTTAAATGTCTTTATATCAACAAATTTCCAATCCTTGAAATACATATATGAAACGTACAGGAACATGAAAAGCATAAAGTTTCAACACCATAAACACATGAGCAATTAAATAAATAATAAATGCAAGTATTTGGAACAAAAAGCAGAAAAAGCAACAAAATAGTGAAAAATCAAACTAATTCTCGTAGTTCATAGCAAATGCAGCAAAATGAACAATGTATAGAGAAAAAACAATTGTGAAATATTCAACATAAATCTAGCCAAAAAACACAAACTTTTTCTGAACTGATAGAATTACTCTCAATATAAGAACTCATGGGCTAAAAGATTAAAAATTTAATACATCCTGCAAATAAGAGTCAAGGGTGTGATTTTGGCAAATTTATAGCGAGATACAATGTTTAATCACTTCATACTTGACACTAGAAAAAAAAAAAAGCTATCGACTTACATTGAAACTGGAAAAATATAAGCAATAATTTCATATGCAAAGTAGTATAGATAAACCAGAATTGATGAGTAACTACCGAATAAGAGCAGATAACGTTAACAAGCAAATTATAATCAGCTCAAGTAATATGCAAAAAGAATAGTAATTGACCTTAACAAAGTTTCCAAGGGTTTTTGTGGATCCACGAGACATCGTAAACACGTCATCGATCCCAGCCATCTGAAGAACCTTCTTTGGAACTCTGGCAGCTACAATACCAGCACCACGAGGAGCCGGAACCAACCTAACAGTAACTGAACCACACTTTCCAGTAACCTTACATGGCACGGTATGGGGCTTTCCAATCTTATTACCCCAGTATCCTCTCCTCACTGGAATCACAGACAGCTTAGCCAATATGATTGCGCCTCTAATGGCAGTAGCCACTTCCTTTGAGCACTTGACTCCGAGTCCTACGTGGCCATTTCCATCTCCAACAACAACAAAAGCCTTAAACCTGGTTCTTTGTCCAGCACGGGTCTGTTTCTGGACAGGCATGATCTTCATCACCTCATCTTTGAGTGACGGCAGGATTTGATCGATGATCTGGTGCTCCTTGATGGGGAGGGAATGAAGGTAGACTTCTTCAAGCTTGGTGATCTTACCATCCTTCACAAGACGCCCCAGCTTGGTTACTGGCACCCACTTCTCTTCTTCTGTGTCGCGGCGAGGTCCACGGCGACGACCTCTACCACGGTCACCACCACGGCCTCCGCGGCCACCGAAACCACGTCCAAATCCTCCACGTTCTCCGCCTCCAAATCCACCACGTTCTCCGCCTCTTTCTGCCATGGTTGCTGTTTGCGTATGAGAAATAAGAGAGATTTAGAGATACGAAACCCTAGAGCTGAAGATGGAGAAATATATATGTGGCGCCGAAAATGCTAGGGTTTGTCAGATGGACTATTGAGACTGGGTTGGGCTTATATTCGGTCCGTCAAAATATTTTTTGACTGTTTCGGCTCGTTATTGTCGTGAATAAATTTAAATTTTCATTTGCTTATTCTTAACCAACATTCACATGAATATTTATAAGTTTTGGGTTAAATAGAGTTATAACCATGTATTTTATCTAGCAACATTGACATGAATATTTAGTGGCCTAGCAACATTGACATAAATGTATAAGTTTTGAGTTAAATAAAGAAGTAGGTATTTTGCCTTTTAATATTATGTGTCATATTTTCATGAGATTTTCATGAGATTAACACTTTAAGTCATGTTTAAGATATGGGTGGAATGAAAAGTAGTTTAACAATAGTTTAAAATTTGTGTTACCATTCTAAAACAAAATGTAATTCTTACAACTACCAAAGTATGTAACTACAAACGATCTACCATTTTTAATAAAAGAGTAAATCTTCCTCCTCCATTAGCCACGTGTCATCAAATCGCCACGTGTTCCTGTATTTAAATGATGACAACTGTCAGCTTAACAGAGGTCTTCCTCCATTTGTTTTACAATTCAAAATTTAAATTCAAATACCACATCACGTTTTGAAGAAAATTTCAATCTTTCAAAAATTATAAGCTATTTAAATTTAAATATGGTATTACAATTACGTAAAAACTGTCCAGCTAATAATCCGACATTTAATAAGGAAAAATTACATTCGTATATACATATTCCAGCAATCAATTCCGTAATTAAAGTGATAATTATATTATCTCTTAATATTATCTAGATTTGTGATGATTTTCTTATACTTAATATACAAATATATACCTGCAATACGAATTGAAAAACATGGTTCGGCATTATCTTTGGCCTTTTCCTTCTTCCTCTTTGTATTCTCGGCTTTGGATTCAATTTCAACTTCAAAACCTCAGTATGTTTTTTTTATTTATATTTCTTCATTCATGTTTCTTCTTCCATCTGTTTCTATCATCTGTTTCTATTTTTTTCCATCTGTTTCTATCGTCAGTTTATTAATATATGTATTAGTCTTGTATTATTGTTTGTACATCTAGAAATCGGTTCTCTTTCATGCATTATGTTTTGTTTTTTTGCACTCTGTTTTTCGATTGTCAATCATAACTTCACATCCCATTGCCTCAAAATAAAATACACAACACGCAAGTTTACAATATACTTTTTGGTTAAGAGAATGTAACAAAATAATTAAAGGGGAAAGCAAACAGTGGCTTAATTATAAATAATAATTGATTGTATTATCAAGTAAGAGATGAACAATATAAAACTGGACTGTGGAGGATGTATAATCCATCATTTGATAACAGATTAGACTTCAATTTGTCAATCCATCTTATTCTGAGATTTTATGCATTGGCAATCTACTTGTAGCCTTTAAACTAAAAATATCATTTTTGATGTCTACCGGTAATGAAACCAATATGATGTCTACCCTCTTATTAGTTTTTCACATGTACCATTATCTGTGTATGACTTTTTCACAACGATCATTATATAAAAAGTTATGTAAAATATATTTTTAATAAAAATGGTCATTTATTGTAAAACTATCATAAAAAATTAAAATTTCTGAATATTTATATATACCACTATGAGTGTGTGACTGTTTTTATATTATTCTTTATTTAAATATGCAAAATATCCACCATTTTCTTTTTACTTTACTATATTTTACACCGTTTCCTTTCAGAGTAATGTCTAACGCCGAAATCACCTACTTGGACAACATTGGAGTGGTAACACACGATACCAAATTTAAAGTCAAAATCTTCAGCACGTGGAATTTTGTACCAAAAGGAAAGAAAGAAGTTATGTCCATTGAATTAATCGTTATGGATGAACAGGTTATTTACAAGGTTTATATATATTATTAATTACTATTAACTTTTTATTATTTAATAAATAGTTTATTTTACTTATAGGGCAAAAAGATACAAGCACATGTTTTCAGTGGTCAGTTTAACAGATTCCTGCATCTTTTGAATGTTGGAGGCACTTTGTTAATACAACATCCTAACATGGCTATGATGAAAGGGGGGTTTAATATTACTAGACAAGACTAGCAGATTGTCCTGCAATGGGATACTGTTGTTAAAAAAAAATGTGTTGATTTTGGGGGTCCAGTTCATAGTTTTGATTTTGTTGATTTTGCTTCAATTTTACAGCTAAACTGCCCGTAAAACTCGTGTTTTGGTTAGTTGTTTGACATACCTTTTTAATCTATTTTTCATATTTTCTATAATCACATTATTTGTTTATATTATTTTCAAGATGTAATTGGACATATTATCTCTCGTCGTGAGCTTGATACATCTAATCCGATGCAATCAAAACACAACATGAAGATCACCTTAAGTGATATAGAGTGAGTTTTTAACCTCTTTTGTATCATATAATTTTTATATATCATTGTTTTAATTTTTTTTTTACTTTATTATTGTAGGGGTACAGAGCTTAGGATTACTCTCTTTGGAAATCAAGCTCATCAACTCAATGAATATTTTTCAAAAAACACAAATGCTTATTGTGTTATCATTATTCTTCAGTTTGCTGTCGTGAACTCTTGGAATGATCTGTGATAATATTATAATAATTACTTTGTTAAAAAATATATTTTCAAACTAATTATTCTTTTTTCTTTGTAGGTATTGTTGGAGTAAAATCTTATTGGGACGCTTCTAATTTGTTTGTTAATGTTGATATTCTAGAGATAAACAATTATAGAAAAAGGTCTAATATCCATTAATACAATTTTTTAATGTAAAATATTCCACCTATCCTGCATCTCTTTCATATTTAACTATTTTATTACATCATATAGATTGCAAGAGGTTGATGGAGGAAGAAAATTTGTAAGTAGCATATTCGTGCTCGCGAGTAGGACTTTTTCATCAAATGATTGGTTTACCGGTGATCTTGAGATAAAAAAATGTTTGTGATGTCCTCGAACCGTTGAAGGTATATTATCACATTTTAAATTAGTGGTATAATTTTTTACATTTTACATTTTATCTCTAAATAGTTTGTATTATACTTTTGGAATTATTACAGGCATGTAAGTTTATTTTAATTGGTACAATCAAGGGAATCCGACAGGACCATGCATGGTATTATCCTGCATGTAATAAATGTGGGAAGAAAAACATAGAGATTTACAATATAATTCACGCATCTGATTCCCAAAAATGTATAACGGATTTGTCTACTGTGATGTGTAAAAATGGACTATGCAACATGTCAGTTGTGGTGAAAAAAGAGAAGTGTGTATAGTGTACTTTGTCTTTAACATTGATATATCTAAAATTTATATATTTTTTAAATATGCTGACAATAACTTTTTTTTCATACAGGTTTCTGATCCCTATCAATGTTCAGGATGGTACAGGGACGATTTCATTGATGCTTTTCGATAAAGATGCAAGTAAAATGTTGGAAGCAAATGCAGATGATTTGGTCAAAGTAGTTATAGAGGTATAATATTTATTATATGACTATTACTTAAGTATGTATTTATGATTCTGATTGTCATATATATGTTTTTTGCTCCAGAGAGAGGTGATAGTTTGGCTTTATTCCCAACTGAATTAAGCATTTTGAAAGGACGTAAAACAACTTTTATAGTTGAAGTTACAAATTACAATGTATCAAATCCAAGCAGATTATATTCTATTAACAAAATGGATATATCAATCATTTGTGAGTTGGAGACCAAATTTGAAACTTTGGTATATATCTTACCTCAAATAATAGTTAACTTCTTTATAAAATTTTAAGAAGTTAAACTTTATTTAAATATCTTATTATCAAGGCTGGTGAATCTCAATTGTTTAATCAACAAACTGATGTTGCTGATTCAGATGAGATAAAACTTGTGAAGGTAAAGATTATATTTTATTATTATTATTATTATATTATATTTTCATATTAGTCTCGCTTAAATATATTTGTTATTGATGAAAAATAATTAAATTTCAATAAGATTTAATGACAACTAACAATTTAATTGCCTTATTTGATTTTAGGATTGTGCTTCTCATACGGGAGATAATGTAACTCCTTCGAATTTCAAAAAATCAACCGTGACCAGTCCGATTAAACTTTTTAACAAAACCATTGATCTAAAGCGGAATTTGCATGAAATGTATGATTTTGATTCCCCCGATTTTGAATCAGCAACAAAGTCAAGACGTGTATCAAGTGGTCAAAGTACTCCTCTTTTTGTCCCAAAAAAAAAGAGAAGTAAATTGTGGTTTGGTTTTTAAAATTTCTTGAATAATTTGGTACTTGTTCTCGAATAATTTGGTACTTGTGTCTGGGATTTTGTTTTCAATTTCTCCGTTTTTGATATTTTGGATTATGATTTTTTATATGGTCGTTGGTTGTTTTTAGAACTTTCTCAAATTTGGAAAAACTATTTTATTGGTTTTGTGGTTTTGAATATTATTGAAATAGTTTATTGTTTCTTTTATATTAATGTTATTATGAGTATAACCATTTAATTGATGATTTGGCATAAAGAAACAAACAAATAATAATTACGAAATTAAAAGACAAGTTACAAACTACCTTATTAGTTATGTGCTACTAATGGAGTGGGAAACCCAACTTATCAGAGTTTCAAAAGATGATGAGTACTCTGCCTTCCTTGGAAGAGACAAAAAAAAACATAAACGATACACTCCATAATGTTCTACATCAGATAAAAAAATTAAAGGTTAGATAATTAATAAAAAAATAGATATATAATTTTATAATACATGGATTTAAAAAAAAAAATGATAACTTAAAAACATAGGGGACAGCAGAGAAGACTATCTGCTGAAAATAAACAACTGATAACATCAATATAAGCAATGTACATTTTAACTACATCTTTCTTATTTGAGCTGTTGTTCAACCTTCTTTAGTCTCATTTGAGCATTTTATTCATCTATATTACAATTTTCTCATTTGTGTGTTTGGAATAATGTTTTGTGAAACCTAACCAATCTCGACAAACTACAGAGACATGTATATCATGAGCTTTTTTTTTGTATTAGTCATGTATTCTTTTATGTACATCAAGCAATTGGTTCTCTTTCTTGCATTATGTTTTGCTTTTTTGTTCTCTATTTTTCTATTGTCAATCACAAGTTCACAACCCATTTCTTCAAAATAAAATACACTACACTCAAGTTAATAATTTACTTTTTGGCTATGAGAATGTCACAAACGCATTGAAGAGGAAAACAAACAGTGGCTTAATTATAGATAATAATTGATTGTATTATCAAGTAAGAGATGAAATATACAAAAGTGGACTGTGGACGATGTATAATCCATCCTCTGATAACATATTAGACTTCAATTTGTCAGTCCATCCTATTGTTGGGGTAAAATGGTCCAACTGTTTGAAACTTGCCAAAACAGCAACCATGAGTTCATAAACCCCAAACAACTTAGTCAATCTAAGTCTATGAACTTTGCATTTTTTTTTTCCTTTTTCTGAGATTTTCTAGATTGGCATTCTACTTGTAGCCTTTAAACTAAAAATATCATTTTTAATGTCTACTGTTGTGATCAACCTGCCATGAGTTCATAATTGGATAGATTTTTCAAGGTACAATATCCTAATAAGAAAAAAAAATAAAGTTATAATGCTAGAAATGGATATGTTTTCCAAACTGCAATGTTGTCATAGAAAGAAATGAATTTTGATGCTAACATAGTCAAATAAATGAAAGTATATTGGTATGTTTATGTGTATCACGCTTTGGTTTATTTTCTTTTTAGTCAGAAGAGTGCTTTAAAATTTTGCCTAACAATATTAATATTTATATTAATTATTTTATACATTTAATTATTGATATTAGAATAGAATAACATTGGTCAAAAATAAATCTCTTTTTTTTATGTCATTTTCTCGTAATGAGAAATTAATATATTTAACTTAATGATAGTCACGGTAGCATCTTTGGAAGTGGGTGTGAGTAGGGGCATTTTGGGAAAAAATTTAAAATCCACATATTCTTCACAAGATAACATTATGGAACTTAATTTTTGTTAAAAAAAAATGGAGTTTTGAGGCATAAAAAATACAAATATCACTTCCAAAAGTAAATGATGGGCATTTTGTCAATAAATAAAAGTTAAACTAGAATCCAAAGAAGGGTTGTTTTCAAGCATATTTTAATGAAATTCCGATTTTGTGAATACTTTTTGAGTCATAAGAACACAAATCTCACTTTCAAAGTAAATCAGGGTCATTTTCGTCACAAAATCAAAGTTATTCGTACGAATAAGAATCTGCATTTAACCACAATCTTCATTTAACTTGTACCAGTTCTAATTCTTTGAGGGCTAATAATGAATCGGCATACACGTCATTTCTAATCTTCTGAAACTGTAAAGTTTCATTTTATTTTAGTATAAAAGCTTAAACTTTACACCTTGATTTGGTTAACTCCTTTCCTTATATGAATTTGGACTAAAATACCCTAATTTTTAGCAATTTTGAAATTCAAAAATTAAACTTATATTTGCTGAAAGTTTTGAAATTACCTCGTGCTTTATTTCACAACCAGCCTTCCACGATCACTAATCTTGTTGTCTCCATTCGTCGTTTCAAAGTTCTTGATTTTTGGTCGTCTCCCAAGTCCCAACTCTTCACCTCCGTTCACATCCATACGACGTCGGTAGCCCGTCATCAGAACCTACTTAATAACACCATACGACGTGTGTTTCGCTTCTCCTGCATTTCATTCACTTTTCGGTAAAACTTTCTCCCCTCTTTAGGTGTAGCTTCATTTCTTTGTGCTTACTTGGTTATGTGTAGAAGCAATTGAATAGTTGTAGGTAGTGTGTAAACGATAACTCTTTACCTATTTTCGAACTGGACATAAATCTTTATCTGAGAAATATAGATGCAACAAAGGTGGCTTCTGGTGCCGGAATTGGGAATTTTGTGTAAGTTTATAACTAGGGCTTCAAATTTGTTTCAATAATATGCGATTTATGTTACTGAACAGGTACGGGGTGGGACTTGGGAGTCGTGGGTCTTATAATGGGATTTCTATTACTTTAATTTTTTTACTTAATAGAAACATCAAATCGCCACGTGTCACTATATTTAAATGATGACAGTTGTCGACTTAACAGAGGTCTTCCTCCATTTTTTTTACAATTCAAAATTTAAATTCAAATACCACATCACATTTTGAAGAAAATTTCAAAGAAAATTTCAATTTTTCAAAAGTCATAAGCTATTTAAATTTAAATATGGTATTACAATTACGTAAAAGCTGTCAAGCTAATAATCCGACATTTAATAAGGAAAAGTTACATTCGTATACACATATTCCAGCAATCAATTCCGTAACAAAAGTGATAATTATATCATCTCTTAATATTATCTAGATTTGGGACGATTTTCTTATATTTAACATACAAATATATGACTGCAATACGAATTAAAAAACACGGTTCGACATTATCTTCGGCCTTTTCCTTCTTCCTCTTTGTATTCTCGCTTTGGCTTCAACATCAAAACCTCATGTATGTTTTTTTTATCTATATTTCTTCATTCATGTTTCTTCTTCCATTTGTTTCTATCATCTATTTCTATTTTTTTCCATCTGTTTCTATCATCAGTTTATTAGTATATGTATTAGTCTTGTTTTATTTTCTGTACATCTAGAAATCGGTTCTCTTTCATGCATTATGTTTTGTTTTTTTGCACTCTGTTTTTCAATTGTCAATCATAACTTCACATCCCATTGCCTCAAAATAAAATACACTACACGCAAGTTTACAATATACTTTTTGGCTAAGAGAATGTAACAAAATAATTAAAGAGGAAAGCAAACAGTGGCTTAATTATAAATAATAATTGATTGTATTATCAAGTAAGAGATGGACTATACAAAACTGGAATGTGGAGGATGTATAATCCATCCTCTGATAACAGATTAGACTTCAATTTGTCAATCCATCTTATTATTAGATTTTGTGCATTGGCAATCTACTTGTAGCCTTTAAACTAAAAATATCATTTTTGATGTCTACCAGTAATGAAACCAATATGATGTCTACCCTCTTATTAGTTTTTCATATGTACCATTATCTGTGTATGACTTTTTCGCAACGATCATTATATAAAAAGTTATGTAAAATATATTTTTAATAAAAATGGCCATTCATTGTAAAACTATCATAAAAATTAAAATTTCTGAATATTTATATATACCACTATGAGTGTGTGACTGTTTTTATATTATTCTTTATTTAAATATGCAAAATATCCACCATTTTCTTTTTACTTTACTATATTTTACACCGTTTCCTTTCAGAGTAACGTCTAACGCCGAAATCACTTTCTTGGACAACATTGGAGTGGCAACACCCGATACCAAATTTAAGGTCAAAATCTTGAGCATGTGGAATTTTGTACCAAAAGGAAAGAAAGAAGTTATGTCCATTGAATTAATCGTTATGGATGAACAGGTTATTTACAAGGTTTATATATATTATTAATTACTATTAATATTTTATTATTTAATAAATAGTTTATTTTACTTATAGAGCAAAAAGATACAAGCACGTGTTTTCAGTGGTTAGTTTAACATATTCCAACATCTTTTGAATGTTGGAGGCACTTTCTTAATACAATATCCTAACATGGCTATAATGGAAGAGGGGGGGGGGGGTTAATATTACTAGACAAGACCAACAGATTGTCCTGCAATGGGATACTGTTGTTAAAAAAATGTGTTGATTTTTGGGGTCCAGTTCATAGTTTTGATTTTGTTGATTTTGCTTCAATTTTACAGCTAAACTGTCCGCAAAACTCGTGTTTTGGTTAGTTGTTTGACATACCTTTTTAATCTATTTTTCATATTTTCTATAATCACATTATTTGTTTATATTATTTTCAAGATGTAATTGGACATATTATCTCTCGTCGTGAGCTTGATACATCTAATCCGATGCAATCAAAACACAACATGAAGATCACCTTAAGTGATATAGAGTGAGTTTTTAACCTCTTTTGTATCATATAATTTTTATATATCATTGTTTTAATGTTTTTTACTTTATTATTGTAGGGGTACAGAGCTTAGGATTACTCTCTTTGGAAATCAAGCTCATCAACTCAATGAATATTTTTCAAAAAACACAAATGCTTATTGTGTTATCATTATTCTTCAGTTTGCTGTCGTGAACTCTTGGAATGATCTGTGATAATATTATAATAATTACTTTGTTAAAAAATATATTTTCAAACTAATTATTCTTTTTTCTTTGTAGGTATTGTTGGAGTAAAATCTTATTGGGACGCTTCTAATTTGTTTGTTAATGTTGATATTCTAGAGATAAACAATTATAGAAAAAGGTCTAATATCCATTAATACAATTTTTTAATGTAAAATATTCCACCTATCTTGCATCTCTTTCATATTTAACTATTTTATTACATCATATAGATTGCAAGAGGTTGATGGAGGAAGAAAATTTGTAAGTAGCATATTCGTGCTCGCGAGTAGGACTTTTTCATCAAATGATTGGTTTACCGGTGATCTTGAGATAAAAAAATGTTTGTGATGTCCTCGAACCGTTGAAGGTATATTATCACATTTTAAATTAGTGGTATAATTTTTTACATTTTACATTTTATCTCTAAATAGTTTGTATTATACTTTTGGAATTATTACAGGCATGTAAGTTTATTTTAATTGGTACAATCAAGGGAATCCGACAGGACCATGCATGGTATTATCCTGCATGTAATAAATGTGGGAAGAAAAACATAGAGATTTACAATATAATTCACGCATCTGATTCCCAAAAATGTATAACGGATTTGTCTACTGTGATGTGTAAAAATGGACTATGCAACATGTCAGTTGTGGTGAAAAAAGAGAAGTGTGTATAGTGTACTTTGTCTTTAACATTGATATATCTAAAATTTATATATTTTTTAAATATGCTGACAATAACTTTTTTTTTCATACAGGTTTCTGATCCCTATCAATGTTCAGGATGGTACAGGGACGATTTCATCGACGCTTTTCGATAAAGATGCAAGTAAAATGTTGGAAGCAAATGCGGATGATTTGGTCAAAGTAGTTATAGAGGTATAATATTTATTATATGACTATTACTTAAGTATGTATTTATGATTCTGATTGTCATATATATGTTTTTTGCTCCAGAGAGAGGTGATAGTTTGGCTTTATTCCCAACTGAATTAAGCATTTTGAAAGGACGTAAAACAACTTTTATAGTTGAAGTTACAAATTACAATGTATCAAATCCAAGCAGATTATATTCTATTAACAAAATTACTGAAGATATATCAATCATTTCTGAGTTGGAGACCAAATTTGAAACTTTGGTATATACCTTACCTCAAATAATAGTTAACTTCTTTATAAAATTTTAAGAAGTTAAACTTTATTTAAATATCTTATTATCAAGGCTGGTGAATCTCAATTGTTTAATCAACAAACTGATGTTGCTGATTCAGATGAGATAAAACTTGTGAAGGTAAAGATTATATTTTATTATTATTATTATTATATTATATTTTCATATTAGTCTCGCTTAAATATATTTGTTATTGATGAAAAATAATTAAATTTAATTTAATTGCCTTATTTGATTTTAGGATTGTGCTTCTCAGACGGGAGATAATGTAACTCCTTCGACTTTAGAAAAATCAACCGCGACCAGTCCGATTAAACTTTTTAACAAAACCATTGATCTAAAGCGGAATTTGCATGAAGTGTATGATTTTGATTCCCCCGATTTTGAATCAGCAACAAAGTCAAGACGTGTATCAAGTGGTCAAAGCATTCCTCTTTTGGTCCTAAAAAAAGAGAAGTAAAGTGTGGTTTGGTTTTTAAAAATTCTTGAATAATTTGGTACTTGTTCTCGAATAATTTGGTACTTGTGTGTGGGATTTTGTTTTCAATTTCTCCGTTTTTGATATTTTGGATTATGGTTTTTTATATGGTCGTTAGTTGTTTTTAGAACTTTCTCAAATTTGGAAAAACTATTTTATTGGTTTTGTGGTTTTGAATTTTATTGGAATAGTTTGTTGTTTCTTTTATGTTAATGTTATTATGAGTATAACCATTTAATAAATGATTTGGCATAAAGAAACAAATGAATAATAATTACGAAATTAAAAGACAAGTTACAAACTACCTTATTAGTTATGTGCTACTAATGGAGTGGGAAACCCAACTTGTCAGAGTTTCAAAAGATGATGAGTACTCTGCCTTCCTTGGAAGAGACAAAAAAACATAAACGATACACTCCATAATGTTCTACATCAGATAAAAAATTAAAGGTTAGATAATTAAATAAAAAATAGATATATAATTTTATAATACATGGATTTAAAAAAAATGATAACTTAAAAACATAGGGGACAACAGAGAAGACTAACTGCTGAAAATAAACAACTGATAACATCAATATAAGCAATGTACATTTTAACTACATCTTTCTTATTTAAGCTGTTGTTCAACCTTCTTTGGTCTCATTTGAGCATTTTATTCATCTATATTACAATTTTCTCATTTGTGTGTTTGGAATAATGTTTTGTGAAACCTAACCAATCTCGACAAACTACAGATACATGTATATCATGAGCTTTTTTTTTTTGTATTAGTCATGTATTCTTTTATGTACATCAAGCAATTGGTTCTCTTTCTTGCATTATGTTTTGCTTTTTTGTTCTCTATTTTTCTATTGTCAATCACAAGTTCACAACCCATTTCTTCAAAATAAAATACACTACACTCAAGTTAATAATTTACTTTTTGGCTATGAGAATGTCACAAACGCATTGAAGAGGAAAACAAACAGTGGCTTAATTATAGATAATAATTGATTGTATTATCAAGTAAGAGATGAAATATACAAAAGTGGACTGTGGACGATGTATAATCCATCCTCTGATAACATATTAGACTTCAATTTGTCAGTCCATCCTATTGTTGGGGTAAAATGGTCCAACTGTTTGAAACTTGCCAAAACAGCAACCATGAGTTCATAAACCCCAAACAAATAAGTCTATGAACTTTGCATTTTTAATTTTTGTTAGGAAAAAATGCAGTTTTGAGGCATAAAAAATACAAAGCTCACTTCCAAAAGTGAATGATGGGCATTTTGTCAATAAATAAAAGTTAAACTGGAATCCAAAGAAGGGTTGTTTTCAAGCATATTTTATTGAAATCCCCTTTTGTGAATACTTTTTGAGTCATAAGAACACAAATCTCACTTTCAAAGTAAACCAGAGTCATTTCGTCACAAAATCAAAGTTATTCGTACGAATAACAATCTGCATTTAACCACAATCTTCATTTAACTTGTACCAGTTCTAATTCTTTGAGGACTAATAATGAATCGTCATACACGTCATTTCTAATCTTCTGAAACTATAAAGTTTCATTTTATTTTAGTATAAAAGCAATCTATTTTCTTAACTCGAGAGAGAAGGTCTTGTTTTATTAAAAGATTTGCATGAAAGCCATCTTCATCTTCAACATAAGTTAAGATTTGTTTTTCTTCTGAATTATTTTCTTCAGTGTTGTTGAAAATTTCTTTATTCATTTTAAGAAAATTTTAATAAGTTAAAATAAATTTTCGGAGTTCTGAAACTAATTTTTTATTTCTATCAAGATGTTCTTGATGTACTTTTTGCTCATGTAGGAGATACTTACGTATACTAACCAAGTTTGGTATATATTCGTGAGTATGTTTATTTTGTGCTTGTAGAATTCTGAAATTTATATGCACTAAATCTTTTTTTATTATTGAAAAGTATTTCTTTATGTTGAGAAATTTCCATTTCTTTATTATGAATATCTTCAAAAATTACACTGTAAAGTGTTTTATTATAATGTAATGCCATTTTTATCAAGGCTCTGATACCAGTTTGGGTGTGTGATGTGTACGGAATTTGTTGTTTAACAAAGAAGGGAATAAATATAAAAATTGTGAAAGAAGACTCTTATATCAATAAATGTGTGATTGTAATGTAGTGAGTGATAAACTTACATAGATAGAAACTATTCAAGCCAGCCTGTGTCGTTCTTTGGTCTGTGTGGTTGCTTTCCCTTTTGGCATCGTGCCTGTGGTACTGTTAATCATCATCGACCTGACACTCTGTCACTTACAAGTTTCATGACTCTAATTTGTATGAACACTCAAAAATAACAAAACAAAGATTTATTGATAAAAGAGTTCCCAAAAAGGGAAAACTCTTACAATATTTTACATTTTATCCCTTCTAAGGGAGGAATTACTCACTAGACATTGAACTGAAAATTTAATAGATAGAGAGTGTTTTTTGTTGCACTCGTTATTGCGATGTCTAAAACAAAACATAACTCTCAATTTATAGATATATTGAGAGGGTCTGATATTTGCCTATTATGTCAGGCATGACGTTTTTTATCCACTAAAGATTACATTATTGTGGACAACTGGAAAGCTTCTAATAATGGAGAAAAGGCATTATTATTTTGAGTGGCGGGGCCATTTGACACGTGAAGCATCTTTCTTTAACATGATGAGGATTTGTCATCTTCAGAGGGGGGTCCCTCCTTTGTCTCTGAATCTTTGCTTTCGCAAAAGTGACAAAGATGTTCTTCGAAAAGTTGTTCTGCATGTCGGCAGAAGTGCTGGCGTGTAGCATTGGATACTTCCATGCTATTGTTCATGAATTTTTCTCCAAACTTGGAGGCTTGACGAAGATCTTCTTGGCTGGTGTTGTTGTAACTCCAGCTTGTAATTATACAATGTGAATCGGTATAATTAATCTTCTTTTTTGAACCAGAGATAATTTCAATGATTTTTTCTGATATTCTTCTTAAACCATTGATGCGATTGGGATGAAGAATTTCTGTGAAAGGTAAATCTTTATCTTCCATTGGTTGAGATTGTTCAATCTCTCTATTGGCTTTAGAAAGACCAATTTCCAGAAATGGTATGGAGAAAGAGTTGATTCTTGAATCCATTCTGGGAGTGAAGAGATGCATCTGATGTAGATCGGATTATCTTTTGCTTTAAGTACTTTCTTTCGAAAGTTCTTAATGGATTCTACCATGCTGCTTGGGAAGAATTTGAGTTCTTGAAGGTTGCAACTTGGGTAGATATTGTCGATTAGTCCAGCTTGAAAGGCTTGGTAGACTAATTTTGCATCTGCTCCTTCGAGAAAGTTGAACAGACTTTTTGTTTTCTTGTCCGTAGTGAAAAACTTTTCATGAACAAGGTCTTCTGGGCATGCAGCTCTTGCTTTCTTCCAGATTGTTCTGAAATCTTCAAAAGAGATTTCAGGATAGTTAACCATTTGTTGAACGTCAATTGGAACGTCAAACCTTTGGTCTCTGTGGGCTTCTTTGACTTTTTGAATTTTTGGTCGAAGAAGTGGTTGGTTAGTCTTGCTTGTATCGTCTTGATAAGTGGCAAGGCTTAATCTTGCAGATGTTTCATTTCTGAATTTTTTGCAAGTAACTTTATCAACTTTACAGAAGGTTTCTGTAATTCCCCAGTCAGTATGAACACCGGCATGGGGTCCTTTATAGATTACATAAAATCTTTCAGCTTCTTTGTTAAGAGCTTTTTTGTAATCTGGTGTAAACTCCTGCACAGATTTGTTAGTGGGTGACAAAGTTGTCATTTTACTGATTCCTTCAGTACAAGGATTGGGATCAACCAATAAGCTAGTTTTTCCATTAGGAAGAGGAGTAGCTGTCTCCTTTATTATGCTTTTTAGCAAAGCATCAGCTTTCAACGGATTTGTTGATTCTTTACCAGGTGCCGTTTGCACTGGAATAGCCTTTGTTTTTGAGCTTTCGCTTTCCGGTACATTGGTGACCGTTGTTACTTGTTCATACAAGTTGATTTTCTGCTCAATTGCAGATAGCTCTATGAGGAGCATTTGTTTCTTCATCCTCAAAATGTTGAGGTCTTCCATTTTTGTAAACTCAATTTTTGTTTACTTTTCTCTCTAATCTCCCCCTCTCTTTTTTGTAGGTGAAGTTTTTGTGAGGAAATATGTCATGAGGATCATATCCTTTTATAGGGCTCGAGAGGAGCGAGTGAGATCATGGATGATGTAAGGCATACCTGAAGTCACGAGTGAGGCAGTCTGCCAGTACGTTTTTGTTTCCTGCGAGATGTTCAACAGTGAATGTATATCGTGAGAACCACTCTTGCCATCGTATTAGCCGGCCTAATTTGTTATCTCCTGCAATCTTCGTTCGGAGGAAATAAGTAAAATTTTTATTATCTGTACGAACCAGGAAATTTACTGGTGTTAAATATACAGAGAATTTTGTAATAACTCTTTTTACAGCGAGTAATTCTTTTTCATTGCTATGGTAGTTTTTCTCAGCTGCTTTGAAACTGCCAGAGGTGTACCTGCAAATTTGTTCTTCGTTTTTGGGGTTTTTAGCTTTTAAAACACCTCCCCAAAATTCATCAGAAGCATCAGTTTCAATAATTAAACTGTCTTCAATGTTTGGAAGATAAAGTTTTGGAAAATTGATTAAAACTTTCTTTATCTTTTTGATGTAGTCTGTATCAGCACTTGACCAATTCCAAATGACATCTTTTTTTAATTTTGCCTGTAAAGGTTTTCTCATGGCTGCAAGTTTTTCAATATATGTTTCAGCATAAGTCAAAACACCAAGAAATCTTTGTAGTTGCTTTTTGTCTTCTAAAACATTTGGAAAGTCATGTAAATGTTCAAGAATATGCTTTTGAGGACAATGAGTACCCTCATTTATTTCTAAACCCAAAAAATTGATTTTTGTTTTGAAAAGATGAGCTTTCTTTTTTGAAAGTATTATTCCATATTTTAAAATAGTTCTGAGAACCTGTGTGACATGAACATAGTGTTCTTGTTCATTTTTGCTGAAGATCATGATGTCATCAACGTATACAGTGCAGAAACCTTCAAGGCCTCGAAGAGCGTTCTGCATGTGTCTTTGAAAAATACTAGGAGCTTGTTTAAGCCCAAAGGGTAGTACTTTCCATTGAAAGAGTCCATCAGGA